TTTCCGATCTTCCCCTTCCAATTTTTCTGGTAGTACATCCCCGGGAGGGGGGGTTGAATTGCCTAGAACAACTTAAGTCTTTGAAGGAGTTTACTGCGATCACTGTAGAAAACGCTGAGCGATTCTTACGACCATCAGCTTCCCTTTGTTCGCCACAAGCGGCACTGAATGGCCAACAGGAGCTGGATCAAACACATCGTAACGCTTTACCATCTGTGCAGGATAGTGCTATTAATCTGTTTCAACAACTGTTGTCGCAGAGATCGTTGGAAAGTTGTTTACAAGATCAGTGGCAACAATTGCTGAACTTCTTTTTCTTTTCTTTTCTTTTTTAAGCGATCGTCTTGATCTGCAGTGAGCGATCTTAATAATGAAATCAGAATTTACAGAACTTAAAACTCGACCAACAGCGCGCTTCCCAGATCTTTAATTTTCGGCTAAAGTTAGTATTGAATAAATTATACAAACACCAGTGCTTTCATTGTTCAGTCTTCGTATGCCATTGTTAACTCTTACTCCATGTTGACACTCTTTTAGGAGTTAGTGGCATTTCAGTCAACCCCGTCCCAAAAATAAACAACTCAACAGACAGTACAAATAGCTTACTTTCTTGTTTTATTTCACGATCAAAATGAAAGGCAAAAGTTGGTTAAACCTTTACCAAGTTGACGGTCACATCATCTTAGGCAGTCAACAAGAATTGTACTACGTTTTCAGTTACTGCTCTCCTTAACACAAACCTTTTATCCACTGGACATGAAGTTGTCAGGCACTGTCTTCCTTCTAGTCGGTGTTTTCGTCGGCGTAGTTGCTACAAAAACCACGCCGACAAATGCAAGCAAACCCTCACAAAGATCGGTCAATGACGGCAAGATTGAAGTGCACCAGTTTTGCAACTCGGGAGCGGCTAAGGCAGAGATCTCCTTGATGAAGAAAGAAGTAGAAATGCTGAGACGAGACCTGACTCAGCGATTGGATCAAATTCAGCAAAAAGGTACCAGTTACGGGGTGTAATATCAGTTAAATAAGCCATTGGTTATGCGAGTCCAAGCGAGTGACGGAACAAACAACTTGGTTTTCAGTTCTTTTGAATCGCCAACTTACTCGACAGAGTCAACAGCGTTGTACCCTGGTCCC